AACGGCATGACTGGAATTGGTCTGCATAATGGGGAACGTTTAGTGTTATTATTGTATCTTTTGTGTGATGTTGAGCTTATGTTCCCACGAAAACATTGGCACAACCTCTTACGATTCGAATTGCATTATGTATTTGCATTTAACTTATACTCTATTAATTTTCATACTGACTATATTGCTTGAGGACAAGAAAAAGTTCAAGCATAGGGGAGTTTGATAACACGAAAAGTCATATCATATTCCGCCTGACTTACATAGATAAAGTTTCTGATTCTTCATTTATTATGTTGCATTATGTCTCTATTTATAGTATTTGCAGCATATTTTAGGTATTTACTTTCTGCAAAGCCTACATGAGAAAAGGAAGAAAAATGTTGGAGAAATGAAGAAGAAATGGCACTTTAGCAGAAAAATGCAGAAGATCCTGTATTAGAAGGCCATGTCGCACGTCACAGGCGCATGCCACCCGCCACAAATTTCAAAAGTGTTTCCCTCGGCACACTTCTTGTCCCGACTGGCACAAACTTAAAATACGTGTGTCCCACGCCATAGATCATGCCACTCGTCACAAGTCACATATAGCAGTTCAATTATAAAGTTTTCTCCATTCACGCACGCTTCCTGATTTCCCTCCATGCACAGAGATTGAGAATCAGGTAACTGCTCCTATATTCCCTCAACAGACTATTCTATAAAAGGCTTGGCATTTACAAACGACGGGCTCTCTCTTGCGTGCCTTCTCCATAATTTATTTTTCTGCATTATTGAACTTGTTATTTTTTATTCCAGTTTACAGATTTGAGATTTTTCAATTTCGTTTAGAATTCCTTAAGTAAAAAGAACCATCACAATTAGAGCAATATTTCTCCATACCGGAGGAGTATTACACCATTAGTTTCCTTCTAGCTTTCAGAATTTTGCTTAGGCTTATTTATATTTCTGCAAGTTATTTTGTTCCGAGGCTAATCATGTCGGCTTGTGGAGGATAGCATACTGCAGTATATTCTTCAGTGTTTTATTCCAGGTTTCAAATTTAAATACAATTTATTTATTTTACCATGATTATATTATTGTATGCATGTTTTTATTTTATGTTATTACGCAATAAAATTATGTTCGGCTAATTTTCCCGATACCGGTATGTGAGGTCCTAAACCGAAGGGGTTCGATAATTAATTGACATAAATATTTTACAAAAAGACTTTTCTGATTTTGATTTCCAATTTCGATATCAAATTGTTTGATTACGAGAGTAAAAGACAAACTAAGGATAAAATCAACAGAGCGAGAGTTTGAGATTTTAACCAGATAGTGGTGATTTAACATTAATTTTAAATACAGCGAGTGCGCTTTAAAATTAATTGGACTCTATTTATTTTCAAAAAATACTTTTAAAATTTAAATGACACAGCGAGAGCGCTCATTTGAGTTTAATAATATGGCCTGATTCGATAGAACGAGAGTGTGAGACAAAGGTTTTTTAATTAATAGTTTCCACTGAAATGGTATTTTAATACTTAAAACTATGCCAATGATTTATTGAATCTCTGAAGTCGATAAATTACATACCGGTGTCCCGTTATCAATTATTATATTTTAGTTAATTCTCATTTAAACCCCAACATCCAAATCTTATTATTAGCCTTACCTTTACACAGTGACCCTAGATAACAGTAGTTTGACCATCAGTCCTTGTGGGTTCGATATCTTTTAAAACTACGCGATTAAACAGCACACTTGCAGTCACTACACCTGACAGACTCTCAAAGTCACGCGATCAAAAGGTATAGGATAGGGGATATTTCAGAGATGCATCTTCGAAAATCCCCTTGGATGCTTTCAAGGAAGCAACATTATCCCATCATTGAATTTTTTTTAGACCAACTCACTTTTTAGGTGATTTTAGACCATAAATTAAAAAAACAGATACACTAATTGATGCACACATTTATTAAAAGAGTCGCACATTAATTAAAGTAAAATTAAAATGTGCTAAAAATACATAACTTGTTCCAAAAAAACAAAAAAAAAATACAACTAAATAGAAACTATTGGGTATATTTAACTCTCTGACTTCTCCTCCGCCTGTACTACAAGGCATTTCGTGCCTTAGCAAGCATGCCTTCTACGATGGCCAAATGGCAATTGCCTTCCTCAAAGAGTCTTACCTTTATGTCTACTCTCCTCATCACCACAATACGCTGACAGACCACTGACACATCCTCGGCGTGGTCATCCCTAGCCTCAAGTACCTCTTAATTAGCTGGCCTAAGTGGACTTCTAGGAGCATCTGGTGTCATGATAAGATTTGACACCATATAAAACCATGTCATTTATTCGTATGCATAAGCTCAAAGTATAAGAGCTGGCATCCTGCGATACTCCTCTAATACCAAATGACTCTCGAATTCCTCAAGTATCGCGTCAAGATCTCTACGACGAACAGTGGGAGGAGTGGACTTAAAGGGGGTCTCAGAATAATCAGCAAGTATTCAAATTGGTGCATCACTCGCTCAGGCAGATAAGGATACGTCATAGTTGACTCACATGTTAGTCATCTAAAGTATAATGAGATGACGTCCAACCAACGTGTCTCGCAGTGGCAATCATATGGGAAGAAGGCAATGTCATCTGGTACATGACAGTCAAGATACACTCTGAATGCCTCAGTCACCTGATTCCTCATGTATGGGGCAAAGGCTGCAACATATGGTCAATCCTCAATGTAGGTAGGCGTAGTTTCCCACTCGATAGTGCGAGAGAAGTGGGAGATGAACCATCCCTAAAAATGGTTCAGATACAATATAATAACAAGTGTAACAAATGAGTTATCAAAATATTAGTAACAATAAATTACCGTAAGCAGGGTGCAACTTTCTGTCATCTACTTTATTTTTGAAAGACAACCTGCACACAACTTCGAGTACATATAGACCAAACAAGCGATCCCCCAGTTGTACTCGTGAATCGTCGTTAAGTCGATGAAGTACTTAAGATAGACCACATTGACATAGGTTGCACTTTTGTCCATAAAAATGGACGTGACAACCAAGAACAAAATTTAACACCTCAGTGTACAAGTTTAATGGTACTCAACCTGCATACCATCACCATCGGCCTCTTTAACCCACCGAGGATGGTCTTTATAAAGTTGTTCCAAGAATTTAAATCTAGCATGAACACCTTTAGTGTCAGCTATCTCATTTGTTGCTTTAGTTGGGTTAGTCCATAAATATGTAACCAATATGTCACAGGCTTTCTCTCGACCGAGCCTTTTATGACCTAATAATTTCCCCTGATGGGAAGATGCAAGAGACACGAAACGTCATCCAAGGTGATAGTCATTTCGCCGATAGGAAGGTGGAAAGATGAAGTGTTTGAATGTCATCTCTCTGAAAATATCGTCTACATGTCATGGTTTATGATTATGTACGCATCAACACATAAACTGAAGATCATAATAGCGGGTAACATCCATGAACCAATCAGCGTCAGGTTGTACCCACTATAATATCTTCCTATCGTGATTTACCAATTTTAAACATAGACACTCGTGTGTGTGTGTGTGTGTGTGTGTGTATATATACATCACCATCAGACTCGATTTAATTAATTTAAAACAGATGTATTGTAAAAGTAAATAAATATACTTTGCATTCTTAGACATACCTAGCAGCATGGTATGCATAAAGATAAAGTAAGGAGGTGTCGTCTCCTGAATAACTCTCTAAAGGGACATCAGTAGTGGATTCCTCCTGGACTTCAGAGTATTCAAACGTTACTTCATCATCTAGGGACTCGTGGCCTCGTGAAGTAAAGGCATGAGACAGGTGACTACTAGAAGTAGAACTAGATGGTTGGGAACCTCGACATTGCGAAATCAAATGATGTTTCATCAACTCATGGCCTCGTGGTCATGTCAGCGGCTCTTTCACGTCGTACAGATGCAGTTTGGGACACACAGTCAAACCTAATTTTTCCAAGATTGTTTTCAGCCATTGCACCTGTGTTAAAACCACATAGTCAAATAAAAAATGCAACCAAAATTCTACACGGTTCAAATTCGAAAATACATCTCCGAAAATAGTTCCGAAAGAACTCAGAGATACATCTCCTGACAAAACTGTGATTTTGTAGGAATGACAAAAACGTCATTGCTGCCCTAAACTCCAAACAAATTTCAATACATGTTCACTTAGGCTACTTATTTCGATTGCACACACTACCTAATGTAGCTTAAACATCTTATGGATGAGAAGCTTGAATGGAGTGAGAAAAAATAAAGTAGAATGCAATGAGAAGCTTATTGAATGAGAAGCTTGAATGGCAAATAAAGAGCACCAGTTGAGTTTTTTTAGGTTGAGTAAGTTTTTAAAAAATGAAAGAGGTAGAGAGAAGGTTATAACACAAGTTAATGTATTAAACGCGTCCGGAAATACATCTACGTATCACCCATTGAATTTTGAGTTAATGGTGTTTACGGAAATACATCTCTAGATCGACCTCATACACATAAAGAGATGCATCTTCAGATTAAATTTTGACAAAATAAGAACTTCTCATCAATTTACACAAAAGAGTTGTTAAAAAAAGACATCCGAAAATACATCTTCAAACACTAAAGACATTTATGACTTTTCACAGTGAAAAGGGAGCACTCCTTAAGGGCGGAACATGCAATCCCCCAAAACCCTAAAGGAAATTGATTCCTCTCATATATAATCTATGTTGACTGAGTTTAAGATATTTATTGAAACACTAGAGTAGAAACTTTTAGCTGTTTGATTTTTTAGTTAATGTTTTCTAAATTCTTTTTTAAGTTGTTGGTTTAAGTTAAATTGTCAAAGGCACAAAAAGAGAACAACGGTAAAATGTATGTATAGTAAATATTAAATTGTACACAACATACACAATATAATTTACTCTCCCATTAAATTAATCACACCCAATATTTAAAGTACATAAGCAAATGATCTCCAATCAATATTTAGCTAAACTCTTCAGTCAAACATGTGAGGAAGTGGCCTTACAGCCATAAATGCATCAACCATCTGAAAAAAAAATATGAAAAAAAAGGAGACTAGGTAAGTTTTGGAACATAAAAGTGGGGGGGGGGGGAAATACAAGACTTCAACCCTGTAATCTTACAAGTGTAGAAAATGGCAGCCCAACATAAAAACACTTCTGAACTTTTGATAATAATTTCATATGAACAAAAAATTTATTAGCATACAAATGTTGATAAAGACTTGAGTGTCAAAGTGCATGCAAGTCAGCTAATACCGTTTCCAAGTTAGTTATAACTATTTTTGAACCGGGTAACTTAATCAGAACCATTGTGTAACACAGCCGTGTGAATTTGTATACTCTAGCAAGTTTGGTGCATGTAATTCAGATAATGAAAAGGAAGAAATAAGATTAGTGTGTACCTCATCGGTCACATTAGCTCGAGCTGTCCGATGTCTCTCCACTAGTTCAGTCAAAACTTGAACTAGGCGCTGCTTCACCTCACCAGTTAGCATGCGTCCCGCTCCATACTCCTATGGAGAATGATAAAATCGTCAGAAAAAATTACACAAGTCTTATTTAGCTGCATGTTAAATAATTTAGGAAAAGAGATAGAAATATGACCTTCTTTATGTGTTCAAGTTCAGCATCATCTTCCAAGAAAAAAGAAAGGTATTTGACAGGTATATCTACCTGAACAATGACATCCTTCAAATGTTAAGATGTTTTACCTATAACTAGACATAAAGGTCAAGGAGCACCAATGAAAAACAAAGGAATTGACTAGCCAAAAAAAGGAACACAGATTGATACATATATCAAAGTAATCATTTTCAACTCTTGTTCACATATTTGTTACAAGAGAACTGCATATTATTCATCAAAATAAAGCAATAGGAAGTTGCATTACCTCAATATTTGCCCCTAACTGTCTATGTTTCTCTACAGAATCTTGCCCACCAGAAAATGCATGTCTGTTTACCTGCAAATACACAATGTGTGATGAACTTAATCAATTGGATGGAACAAAAAGGATACAACGAAGAACAGTGGGAGGATTGCACAAATTATTAGACTTTATAATCATCCAACATTGTAGATCAAGATTTACTAGAGTGACTTCTAGTGAATGGTAACAAGTCTGAATGAATTTTAAGGAAAAGTGTAAGCAAACCCATCTGTATCTTGCATATACACTAGCGATAAAATGAAGATTCTAGAGCTAAGCTAATAAGAGTCACAATCTACAAATAGAGCTACAAGACCTAAATGTAAGCAATGCATTACTAATCAAAGCTTTAAAAAGAATAACTTCAAAAACCAACCTTATTCTTTATATCTTTTGCAGAATCAGTAACATATATTGCTGAGTTGGGATCACTGGCAGACATTTTCCCTGTTTCCCCCTGCAAGCATTTATATATCACAAAGGCATTGAAGAAACAGGCAAAAAAATACAGTATTTAAGAAGAGATTGTCTTCAGAGAAATAATCAAAGGCTACATAAATTCATTAGGACTCAAATGAGATTCATGATACTTTGAGGACTAAAGACTATGACTGATGTTTGTACTAGTTATATGCATGCAATTACACAGCAAAAGCATATGTGCAAGCAAATTCAATGGCAAATATATACATGAACATGCACAGTATTAGATTGTATTAGTTTTATAAATTAGCACTATTTCATAACATGATAATACCTGTAATGCGGGGAAGAATAATGCTTCAATCAAAGCAGGCTTGTGATATCCAAGTTTAGGAGCAACATCTCGTGTCATTCTAAAATAAGGATCCTGAAAACGTCATAAAGAAAAACTATTACAAAAGAGTGGGTAAAATTTAAAATTCAAATCAACCAATCATCCAGGTATTAGAAAAAACATCAAGAAGATCGAGTTACAAAGAAGTATAGTGTACATGATATATTTAAAGTAAATGTACATGATTTATTTCTATCTTAACTGCAAAGGGCGTGGGGACCTCTTGAGAAACTATCACAACTACTTGATTCTTTTCTTATCTGGTTGTAAAAATTCCAATTTGACTTGTAAAATCCCACAATTATGCTAGACATCAGCAATCAAGAGTATACGTAGAATCCTATTTTGGTGGAATCAGGTTGAATCACCCTTGTTAATTGTTGAATCCTATAATCTAGGATCTTTGAAACATTTTTGCAATTATGCTTATGAATGAATTTAAATTTTATACAAGTATTTGAAGTGTGACTTAAGATTTTTAACTATCTTATTTGTGAGATATGCTTATGGATTTAAACTTGCAAGTGATTTTAACCTGCGTTGCATAGGTACGAGTACGTACGGGTACTGGGTACTGGTACGGAGTACGACATTTTTTTAAAAACTAAGTACGGGTACCTTAGTATAATTTTTTTTAAATATAATTATAAAAATCACAAAGGAGTTATATTATTTAAATAACAACAAAACATTAAAATTAAAAAACAATTTGCTTAAAATAATTAATATCAGTGCAATAAAATAAATAAATCACACTTAAAAATATTAATAAATCATGAAAATCATGGCTGAATATTAATATTTTCTTCTTCAATATCATTAAAAAGAGCAGCTTCTAATTTAGACTCATTGAGGGAAATATTAACAACTTCAAGAATATCAGCTCTATCAAATAGATCTCATTCATTTCCACCAATATCCCACATTTTTGTTGCTCCTTCGTTATAAACCTTACTCTTTCTCGAGAGAAGACGGAGATTTGTGTGAACAAAAACTAAATCCTCATCCCTCTTTGGATTGAGTCTATTTCTTTTCAATGAATGAATAAATCCATATGCGCTTCAATTTCTCTCAGCAAAAGATGAAGAACTTGGTTGTGAAAGAAGTTTCAATGCAATATATTGGAGTTTAGGGATTGAAGATCCATAAATTATCCACCACTCCTTTAGTGTCAAGTTCCACCTATCCGAAAAAAATTTTAAAAAAAATTGGATACGTGGTATCAAATGTGTACCGGATGGTGTACCAACTTAAAAAATAAATAAATAAATTGGTACGGCTTCGGTGCGTACCGTACGTGTACCGTACGCGTATCGGTACTTTACTTAAAATGGAGTACCCGTGCTTCATAGATTTTAACAAATAGTTAGATATTAAACAGCTTAAGAGAAGAAAATGGCAATTATTATGTAGAAACATATCTTTTTATGACTTTCGTTTTCCTTTCAAAATCTATAAGTATAAAATGTATTTGAACAAAAAAGATCCCAAAAGCAAAGCAAGAATTTGATAGAAACCAACTCATATAGACAAGTAAATAGGAAATTTGATTACAAAATGATAATCGCAGAACTTCAAGGGTCCGCACCTCCCCAATGCCAAAATGGTCCCTTTCCAATCAAATTCCCAGATATCCTCTCTTTCAATTAATTATAGGCAACACTCTAATTATCCTAATTAATTAATTTCTATTCTAAAATTGCAGTCATGACAGTTACAATTACAGTTATCTTTAATAAACTGGTTTCCTATTAACTAACAAGACCCTTACAATATAGTCCTCAAGGTGATTACAAGAGAATAAAATAAAAAATCAATTACAAAACTACTTTACTCATATTGACATTAAAACTAAAGTGTTTGCACCATCTTGCAACCTAATTTAGCCTCCAGGATCCCACGGTTTGGAGGACAGATTACCAAACATTTTGGAATTATTACAGTAGCATTTGTTGGCCTTCCTCTCGAGGATGGTGAATGTGGTGACACTCTTTTTCGTCGTTGTGCGACAAATAGTAACACTTTTGTTTGGCAATTTCATCAATGGAAATTATTAGAGTTATATCTTAGAATATGAATAATCAGCACTATAGAATAATTAAGTCCAGCCTTAATTTAATAGAATAAGAAAAGTCTTCCTTAATTGTAGAGCTTGAATGATTCAACTCTTGAATGTTCATCTCCTCTTGTATAAATAGAGCATAATGCTCCTTTCCAATTAAGCAATAACAGAATCTGTTTCTCTCCTTTCTCTTTTAGCTTTTTCTCTCTTCTCTCTCATATCTCACTCTAATATGGTATCATAGAGCTTCGGTTCTATCCATGGCAGCGATTCCAGTAACTACAGCTCCGGCCACCCCAACATCTATGTCCTTCCAACTCAAAATCACAGAAAAACTTGATGAGAAGAATTTCCTACTTTGGCGCCAACAAGTAGATCCTTTCGTTAACGCGAACAATCTTCAAAACTACCTTTACCTTCGTGACATACCGAATCAATACCTGACTGATGAAGATCGTGCCGCTGCTCGTGAGAACCCTGCGTATCGCACCTGGATTACGCAAGATCAGTGGCTTATGACGTGGCTTCAATCCACGCTTTCACCTTCAATTCTTTCACGTGTTCTTGGATGCGTTCATTCCTACGAGCTCTGGGAACGTATTCTTGCGCATTTTCAAAAGCTTACACGTGCGAAAGCAAGACAACTACGAGCGGAACTCAGATCTACAACACTTGAAGACAAATCTGTTGGTGATTATCTGGTTTGCATCAAAGCTCTTGTTGACGCGCTTGCTTCAGTAGGAGATCCAGTTCCAGATCAGCAACACATTGATGTGATTCTTGAAGGTCTTCCTCAAGACTTTGCCTCTGTTATTTCAGTTATTGAAAGCAAGTTTGATTCAGTAGAACTTGAAGAAGTTGAAGCTCTTCTTCTTGCTCATGAGATGAGATACAACAAGTATAAGAAACACTCACAAATGGAGGTGGCTGCCTCAGTGAATCTCACTCAAGCCAATTCTCAACCTGAAACTGATAACTCGAATAACAAGAACAATGAACAAGCTGTGAATTCAACCTTTAATCCAACCTATTCAAGAGGAGGCCGTGCAGCTGGCCGTGGTGGTGGACGCGGCCGTGGGAGAGGTAGGTTCAGCAACATTCAATGTCAAGTTTGCTTCAAATATGGTCATCTTGCTGCTAACTGCTATCATAGGTTCAATCAACAATTTCAACCTAACATACCTGCTGATTTTCAAACAATGAACCTACAAAATTTCTATCCGTATCAACCAATTGGTGGACCTCAGTTTGCTCAGCCCATGGTTAACACTCGGTCACGCCCAAGCTATCAACCAAGACTTGCCCCTCTCCCTGTTCCTCAGTCACATATCACTCCCAATGCTATGATTGCTAACACAACTTCAGTTCCAAGCAGTGCCTGGTTCCCAGACTCAGGAGCTTCTTATCATGTTACCAATGCCTCTCAAAACATACAGCAAACCACACCTTTTGAAGGTCCTGATCAGATCTTCATTGGTAACGGTCAAGGTTTGCACATTCACTCTTCAGGCTCTTCTTATTTTCCTTCTCATTCTAAACCTAACACTCCATTAGCTCTTCATAATTTACTGCTTGTTCCTTCTATTACAAAGAACCTGATAAGTGTCAGCAAATTCTGTCTTGATAATAGAGTTTTCTTTGAGTTTCATGCTGATATGTGCTATGTCAAATCTCAGGCTACCAATGAAATTCTGCTCCAAGGTCGTGTAGGAAGTGATGGCCTGTACCAATTTTCCCATCTTCAGCTTCTTAAGTCTCCTTCAACAAGTCAAGTCTCATGTCTCACCTTAGACTCTAATGCTCATGTTTCAAGATCTGATTCCAGCACTAGTGATAGGGTTTCAGTTTCTAATCAAAATGTATCAGCTAATAACTCATATAATTCTCAACATACTTGGCATTTACGCCTTGGTCATCCAAATTCTAATACTATGAGACTTGTTTTAGCTCAATGTAATATTCCTTATTCTAATAAAGTTGAATCTATCTTTTGTTCTGCCTGCTGTATGGGAAAGGCACATAGGCTGCACTCCCCTCAGTCACAAACTCAATATCACTCTCCTCTTGAATTAATTTTCAGTGACCTATGGGGTCCTGCCCCAGTCAAATCCTCCCAAAACTTTACCTACTACATCACCTTTGTTGATGCATACACCAGATTTACTTGGATCTATTTGCTCAAAAATAAATCTGAAGCCTTAACTATCTTTAAACAATTCAAAGTCATGGCTGAATTACAATTTGGATTTCCTATTAAATCTGTCCAAACTGATTGGGGTGGTGAATTTCGCCCATTTACAAAGTTTCTTTCTGATCTTGGCATTATTCATCGCCTAGTTTGCCCTCACACTCATCACCAAAATGGTGTAGTGGAGAGGAAGCATAGACACGTTGTTGATCTTGGTTTAACCCTCTTGAGTCATGCCTCTTTACCTCTCAAATTTTGGGACCATGCCTTTTTAACCGCTGTCTACCTAATAAATAGGTTACCAACCATGTCTCTCAATCAACATATACCATATGCTGTCCTTTTCAATCAAAATCCTGACTATAAATTCCTTAAAGTCTTTGGGTGTGCTTGTTTTCCTCTCCTTCGCCCATACAACTCTCAAAAATTTGACTTTAGATCCCACGAGTGCCTTTTTCTAGGGTACTCTACAGCTCACAAAGGTTACAAATGTCTCTCTCCAAGTGGTAGAATATTCATCTCTAAAGATGTTCTTTTCAACGAGTCCAAATTTCCTTACAATGATCTTTTTTCCTCTAATGTTTCTCTCCCCTCATCAACCATTCCATCCTCCTCCTCATCTAAAGTAACCCTTAACACACAAGCTCTCCCTCATGTTTTTCCCGTTCCTACTGCTTCCACTACCTCACACTCCTCTTCTTCTTCTCAATCCAATTCCAGCCCCACACCTATTGTCTCACACTCCTCTTCTTCTTCTCACTCCAATTCCAGCCCCACACCTATTGTCTCACACTCCTCTTCTTCTTCCCAATCCAATTCCAGCCCCACACCTACTGCCTCTGGGTCAGCAACCCCTATAACACAAACAGCCAGCACTAATCCTACTCCTTCACCCTCTTCAAATGCCAACAATCAGCCTACTACTACCACTTCACTATCCTCCTCCTCTATTTATGCTCCTAGGGATCCTAACCTTCAGCCTCTCCCCACCAATACTCATCCTATGACTACTAGAACTAAATCTGGTGTACCCTTACCTCGTCTAAATCCTTCCATTTTTCTTGTCAATTCTGAGCCTAAGAGTGTTAAAACTGCTCTCCAAGATCCTAAGTGGTTTGCTGCTATGCAAGAGGAGTATGGTGCCTTGATAAGGAACAACACTTGGTCTTTGGTACCACTGCCTGCTAACAGGAAAGCAATAGGCTGCAAGTGGGTTTTTCGTGTAAAGGAAAATGCTGATGGGACAGTAAATAAGTACAAAGCTAGGCTTGTTGCTAAGGGGTTCCATCAAGTCCATGGATTTGACTTTAATGAAACTTTCTCCCCTGTTATTAAACCGGTCACAATTAGAATTATTTTGACTCTTGCTCTAACTTACAATTGGCCTTTGCAGCAGTTGGACATAAACAATGCCTTTTTGAATGGCATTCTTGAAGAGGAGGTCTATATGATGCAACCCCCTGGATTTATTGCCCCTAATTCATCTCTGGTTTGTCACTTGCACAAGGCCTTGTATGGCCTAAAACAAGCCCCGAGGCAATGGTTTGAAAGACTCAAAACCACTCTTTTATCCTTTGGCTTTCTAAACAGCAAGTGTGATACTTCACTTTTCATCTACAAGCATCACAATGCTGTCATTTATATGCTGGTTTATGTTGATGATATAATCATCACAGGAAACTCCCCTCCTCTCATCAAGCAAGTTACTCAACAATTAAATCATGTGTTTGCTCTGAAACAACTTGGTGACTTGGATTATTTTCTGGGCCTTGAGGTGAAGAAATTGTCCAATGGAAATCTCCTTCTCACTCAATCTAAGTACCTAAGGGACTTGCTAATCAAAACTGATATGGAGAATTCCAATCCAGTTGCTACTCCTATGGCTTCCTCCACCAAACTCATCAAAACAGGGTCTGCTGCCTTGTCTGATGCCTCCCACTACCGGTCCATTGTAGGGGCCCTGCAGTATGCAACAATTACACGGCCAGAAATCTGCTATGCTGTTAACAAAGTATGTCAATTCATGGCACACCCCTTGGAGTCCCATTGGCTAGCTGTCAAGCGTATTCTGCGCTACCTAAAAGGAACTATCACCTCTGGTTTATTGTTCACTCCAGCCTCCACTGTTCCGTTCTCTCTGCAAGCCTATTGTGATGCTGACTGGGCTGCTGACCCAGATGATAGAAGATCCACCTCTGGGTCAGCTGTGTACTTAGGCCCTAATTTGATCTCTTGGTGGTCCAAAAAGCAAACTGTTGTTGCTCGTTCTAGTGTTGAGGCAGAGTATCGCAGCTTGGCTCACACCACAGCTGAAGTTTTATGGGTTCAAACTTTGCTAGCTGAACTAAAAATTCCCTTGACAACTCCAACCATCTATTGTGACAACCAGAGCACAGTTGCTATGGCTCATAACCCTGTTCTTCATGCAAGAACAAAGCATATGGAAATTGACCTCTTTTTTGTAAGAGAAAAGGTGATTAATAAGTCTCTCACTGTCTGCCACATTCCTGGTGTTGACCAGAAGGCTGACATCCTCACCAAGCCTCTCTCATGTTCAAGATTTATGGAGCTCAGCAGCAAGCTCAACCTGTCTGCCTCAAGTCAGCCTTTGCAGCCACCTTGAGCTTGTGGGGGAGTATTAGAGTTATATCTTAGAATATGAATAATCAGCACTATAGAATAATTAAGTCCAGCCTTAATTTAATAGAATAAGAAAAGTCTTCCTTAATTGTAGAGCTTGAATGATTCAACTCTTGAATGTTCATCTCCTCTTGTATAAATAGAGCATAATGCTCCTTTCCAATTAAGCAATAACAGAATCTGTTTCTCTCCTTTCTCTTTTAGCTTTTTCTCTCTTCTCTCTCATATCTCACTCTAATAGAAATACAACCAACATGCAAGAAATTTCTTTACTCTTCTCAGCCACAGACCCTTCATCTCCACCGATTAGATTTTCGTTCAGTGGTTCTTCCTTCACAGACAATTTTGTTTTCTTGATAATACTTTGTTGCATGCCACCAATTTTCTCTTTTCACTCACCTTCCTTCACTTTTTCTATTAACTTTGAGCGATCCAAAACAACAAACACATGGCCTCCTTTTTTATTAAAGTTCTCTTTGCTCATTCTTTTTTGACCATGGATATTATGTTTTCCTCTCCACCGGTTAGATTTTCGTTCGGTGGTTCTTCCTTCACAGACAATTTTGTTTTCTTGATAATACTCTGTTACATGCCACCAATTTTCTCTTTTCGCTCACCTTCCTTCACTTTTTCTATTAACTTTGAGCGATCCAAAACAACAAATGCATGGCCTCCTTTTTTATTAAAGTTCTCTTCTTTGCTCATTCTTTTTTGACCATGGATATTATGTTTTCTTGAAACTTTGATTCCACTTCATTCTCCATTGAATCAGTTTATGGCCTATATTGCTTGATAATTGCCTCTGAAAAATCTCTCAACGGAAAATGGGTTGGCTGACACCCATAATTGGTACCATGGGATGGCTCTATCACTCATCCATTGCACAACTTTTGGTATTTGATCTTCTTCTTTACATGCATGATCAGTGATTTTTCCACCTTTATTTATAGTTGATTTTAGTTATCATTTCTTTATTTTGTCAAGTGTTTTATTTCATTCTTCTATGTTTTATGCATTGGTTGTGTATTTTGTTATTTTCAAGCTCAGAGGAATAAAACCAGGAAAATCAGTGAAAAGTGCAAATTTGGAGTTTCGAAGGAAGTCTCAAAAAATCAAGCTACAGGGTGCCTGACACGGCCACCCGTGTCACCTGACACGGACCATGTCAGGAGAGAATGCAAAGCTGCAATTTGGAAGATGCAGAGGCTGACACGGGTGCCCGTGTCAGCTGCCACGACCCGTGTCAGGAGGTCTGGCAAAATGTATTTTGTGAAGCGATGGACAAAGACCGACACGGGTGTCTGTGTCAGATGACACGGACCGTGTTGGCCAGGATGCTGATTTTGAGTGTTTTTATGTTTTTTTATGATTTGGGACTCAGAGGGGCGTTTTAGACATTTCGGACCGAGACAAATTGATTGTTCAGTTTCCACGATGAATTGAGGGCCTATTTGCCACATGAAGAATTGAGGATTGAAAAGAGCAACATATGAGATTCTTGGAGGACGGAGATTTTTCATGAGTCGCGGCGATTGAAGATCAAAGTTCATCATTTATCTGTAATGTTTAATCTTTATATCATTGAGATTCTTTTGAACAATATGAGTAGCTAAACCCCCCAATGCTAGGGGGTGTCCCTGATTTGATTCTGTAATCACTTTGAATTTCTGATTTCATCAATTACATGATTTTTATTATTCGATTTAATTGTACAAGAGTTTTCATGCTTTCTTTATCGGACAAATAAAGATTGTTCTACGGTTAACAATTAGTTGGACCACAATTGTTAAGGTTTTTGTATAATTAGACTATAGTAGATATCCCCTAGGACTAGGGATACCTTATAGTTACCAGATAACTCTTGATAAAACAAAGGCTTGAATCCATTAGATATCTCTAAGGACTTAGGATTTATAACGGATGTTCAAAGGTTTTCCCACTAAGGACTTGGGGGAAAATAACCTAAAGGTCTAGTAATTGGTATTATGAACTTCTTGAAGAAATTAGGATTCAAAATTGTTATAGGACAAATTATACACCATACCCTAGCATGCTCCTCATATCTGAGAAAAAACCTTAATTTACATTCTGTTTATTTTTAATTATTGTTAAGTGACAATTTCCAAATCAAAACCCCAATTCAAATTTTGTTTAATTGAACCACAAATTGAACTCAATACTGATACACAATCCTTGAGATCAATACTTTGGCATTTCCCATTATTACTACATTGGCAAATTAGTACACTTGCTAATTTGACGATCAATGCACCTCCTGCATCAAAATATTCTCAACCTTAGTCATCCATCCAACAACATCCCTTCCTTCAAAGATTGGTATTGCTAGTCGTAATTCTTTGAATTCTCTTCTCCAATCTCTAAGTTCTTTCAACACTTCATCAAAAATACCAAATATTTCTTCTGTTTTGGATGGCAATTCCATTCCATTTCGTTTTTGTTTTTTGTTTTTTTTTCTATCCCGGATCAGAAGTGCTCTCATACCAGTTGATAGAAACCAACTGATATAGACAAGTAAACAGGAAATTTGGTTACAAAATGATAATCGCAGAACTTCGAGGGTCTGCACCTCCCCAATGCCAAAATGGCTCATTTCCATTCAAATTATTCTCAGATATCCTCTCTTTCAATTGTCTCCTCTATTTGTAGGCAACACTCTAATTATCCTAATTAATTAATTTATATTCTAAAACTGCAGTTATGACAGTTACAACAATTACAATTACAATTACAATTATCTTTAATGAAACTGCCTATTAATAATAAAACTGCTTCCTATTAACTAACAAGACTCTTACAATCATAATTAAGGGCTCGAATCTAACAGAATTTTGCAGAAGCATAGGAACCAGGCATCACCATGATCACACTAGTTAGTCTTAAAATGAAATAAACTTAAATTTGTTCAGACAAAAGCATCGGAGATCAACAAACCTGGTCTATCGCACAAGGAATTAAACAACGGAGATTATCTTTGCCAGAAAATAGGTGAGGAAATGAACTAGGAAATGATGGAACTGCCTGTATAAACAAAAGTAGCAAACACAATCATTTCCAAGTGACAGATTCAAAATATGCATCATTATCATATGAATATGATCATAAAAAGAAACTAACACAGCAATAAAGACACACAAATAAACCCATATACCTTGTAGGTTTGGACATTTTGAAGCCAATGCATATAAGCTCATAATATGTAGATGTAGATCTAATGCATGCCCAAAAACCTAAGGTGAGGTTTATACTGCTTTTTTGCACCATAAAATTGACATGCACTATACATGAAATATAGGGATAGTTGACTATTTTAGTTTTGACTTGCCAATAATCAAATCACTAGAAATTAGAAGGAATTAACAGATAGATAATATCTTATGATTAAATTGTTGAATGATAACTTCACATTTTGTATGGATTTATTGAAGTCTTGCACTAATTAAAACTTTATCCAGACACACATTAACACATACAACATATTTTTACTTATCTATATATATATTTTGAAGTCAGGGATGATAATGACAATAGAAGCATCAGACATTGATGGATAAAATGATCAGTTAGTAAAAAATCCGAGATAATATGGCAAAAATATTATTAATAACAACTGCAGAGTTTATCTGAAGAATAATACAAACAACCAGATGAAAGTGCTGTCTAAGAACTACTTGCAGCTCAATGTAACATTTTAGAACAAAACATTATTATGTATTATCAAAACTGAAGAGCAATTGACATGGGAAACCAACACTCATAGCCCAAGCTCACGGCAATAAAAAAAAACTCATATATTATAATAATTAAGGAGAAATATTCAATGATAGGCACATTTCACATAGGGGAGAGATGGACCTTACCTGCACAGGTGGAAAACTAACTTTTCCAATATGATCTTCCCCAGTGAACCCAAAAATGCCAACAGCCTGGTTATAAGTCACACGCTTTGCAACCTCTACCATGTTCCTGTAGAAGGCACTGGAAAGGGAATTTATTCTCTGTCAGTATATAGTGATTAGTGATCAAATCAGTTTTTTTTTTTCTGTACCTGACAATTATATTAGTTAGTTTAATGTTAGCTAGCTGCAACTGCATATACAGGTTCAACTAAGCCAAACTGAATCTATTAATACCAGCGTAATAATTAAAATCATTCAATGAAAATCATTTATCATTTTCATCAGAAACAATATCAGAGGTCTCTCTTTTTTTCTTATCAGCAGAACTTTAGCATTCTCATATGACAAGAATTACAAATATGTGATCGAATTTAAAAGGACATCAGATTATGAAACTTCTCCAACAACATTTTATTTAAGAACAGAACAGAGACAACTGAATTTAAAATTCACTCTGAAGTTTTTCCCCTATCATAATGCGCAGAATATAAACCCCAAATCAATTTAAATTTTAAACAACCCAACCATAATTTCTAAATATGGGCCCAAAAAATTTAATCATGCCCACATATTTAAGGTTGTTGGATGTAGAAACCATAAAGCATGAAACGATTTTTATTTCCTAACGCATAATTTCCTTTTAATATCACATTTGGTAAAATTCTGTATTCTACCAATGTATAGATACGTGTTCTAATAAAATTCCTGCAAGTACAAACCATCCAACATTTTACAAAATAGGAAAACAAACTTGAAAATTAAACTTTTACTGAAAGCATGCATTTATAGTATAACGGTATAACTAACTCACCCGCCGACAAAATCAAAATCAGAGAAGATAAATGTCTTTGATATATCAAAACCACAAGCAATGATGTCCTTTGCATTCTCGCGTGCAAGTCTTCTGCACTCATCTACAGTAAGATTTTTCCACAAAAACTTCTCATCATCAGTGAGTTGTATAACCAGTGGAACCTTAAAAGCGTCTTGCAAATACCTACACACCATTTTCGACCACATCAAGAACTCAACAAACATAGAATTCACAAACATAGAATTCGAGCAATTTTCAAAAACAAAATGTACTTACTTGGTGAACATGAACGGAATCAAATGACCTAAATGCAAAGCTTCAGAAGAAGGTCCACGTCCTGTATATAAGTAAAATTTATCTCCTTTTTCGTATGCATTCAAAATCTCAGCAAAATCACTGTCACGTGCAAATCAACAACAAAACAAAAAAAAAAAAACACATTCTAAGATAAATTGAAGATTGAACAGTGAGGAAGCGAAATAGAGAGAGTAGGAAAAACCGGTGAGCGAAGAAAACGCCGCGGCGGAGGAAGACGTGAGCGGGGAGAGAAGTGAGATGTTCGACCCGTTGAATGAGAGATTGGTCGATTCTTTGACATCCAAAACGGTCAACGAGTTTGTCGTAATCAATTTTGCCTCCGTCTTTGCCGGAAACCTCCCATGGAGTCACCACCTCCTGCTCTTCCTTTTGCTCTTGGTTTGTTTCGGTTGATGGCTCCATTTTTCTCCGATGGTCGTCGATAGTTGCCGCCGGCGAATGAAGATAGTGTAACTAATCGAGAGTTGGGTTTCAGATTTTAATTGACAAATAATAGGGTTTTAGACAATGTTTTTGTCTTAATGTTCTAATTCAGCAGAGTTTATTTTAAGGTACGACTCTGAAATTCGTAATGTGATCTTTTTTAGTAAGGTGATGCAAATAATGAGAATTTATTGTTTGGATCAGTAAATAATGGTTAGAATGGAATATGATGAAATATATTTCATCCGATTTTCTCATCTTTTGTTTCATTTAATTTAAAATGTATGTGATCGAATGACATATTTTTAATAAAATATCCAAACAATTGAGTGGAATATATATTTTAATGTCTTTCACTCCACTTCGCTCTGTTATATTTCATTATGCTCCGTTCCGTTATGTTCCATCAATACAAACAAAGCCTTAGACTTTTGTGTGAAGTGTGTGGACTATATGTGTTGGATCATCTTGATTGTGCTATGCATGATTGGACTGTCTTATTGGACTTTTAGACAGTCCAAAATAGTAGCCTTGGGGCTTGTCGATTAGGTGGGAAACATTTTAAAGTTGTGGTCGGCATCTGACTATCTTGTCAGATCATAATGAGAAATAAAAAGATTGTGGAGCAGTTACAAAAGTAATGGAGAACAATCGCATTAAATGTTTTCACATCATTGGGACGTTTCGCCATTCCACATATGTATGGCTCTATGTATGCAGGTTAGGGTGTAGTCTCCCCATCTAGGGTGCTCGAGTGGATTTGAATCATTTATATTCCAAAGAAGCGATTGATTCATCACCCTTAGATTTCCTTACTACTTCTGATATGGATTGTTGGTTTGTTGTTGATTTCATTATAATAGGTTGTTTATCTTTCAAACGTCTATTTTGCTCCATTTACCATTCAAAAAATCCCCCCCCCCTCTTAAGTTCATTCTTCTACTTGTGTGTTTCGGCCATTTGATGTCTCTTCATTTGTGGATCATTATTTTCATTATGTCTTCTCTTCTTAAGATATTTCATCATCCTTCTTTTGTGTATCGTTATGGTTAATCTGGGAAATGTACTTATAAACATGACCCTTGGACTTAATAGTGACGGGTCTTTACCATTTAATGGAGTTGAGAACCCAAAACTCGTGGACATTTTATACAAGGTGGGTTGTTCATTCCTATCCATAATGTGCCTAATCGTACCTATGGCTCAAGGTTGGATTCTACAGGTGATGAGGGCGATCATTGATGGGGAAAGTTATGGTTTTCTCCGCCTCCCTTGCACGTGCCAAATTTAATTTGGGTCTTACATTATCAAATATGGTAGAGTGTGTGACTGGTTGATTTATCTAGTCACTCGAGAAAAATCCCTTTCGTCGACGTTCTATTGTTGCTTATTAGAATGATTCATTTTATGACACAGAGGTGGATATGGTTCGACTTGAGGACTTAATGGAGTAGACTAATGCGGATGAATATCCTTGTGTGGATCTTGCGTATCGGGGAATAGTTTTTTCTTATATCTAGGAGGCCTTGTAAACCTTTGAGGTAGGTCATCTTATGATTGGTCTATCTTTACCATTCATACTGACAAAAGAATTTAGAACAAGTTTGACAGGTGTTTTATTTATTTCTACGATTGCATCTTTCAGAAGTTGTTTGTTTGGCTTCCTCTGATCTCTTTTGAAAATGAGGTGTTGGGACTCCACCAAGTTGCATGGATTTTCTTAAGAGTGTTTCAATATTGGTATGGATATAAGACGCGAATGGGTTTTGCCTTGAAAAATCTCTTATTTCATCTTTTCTCCAGCCAACCCTCTTTCAAAAAAAGGACATGACCATGGGTTAGTTTCCCTCCGCCAAAATGATGACAAGGTTTTCCATGTTTATACTGAAAGTTAGAAGAAGTTCATGCCTCATTATTTCCTGACGACTCCTATTTCCCCCATGGCTCACTCAAAATTATGTGGTTTCCCAACTTTTGCTTTAGGGTTTGCTGCTTGCATAAACGAATCCCGAAGGTACTGATCCCCAGAACACTATGAAGGCACATTTACTTTCATTTCCTGACTATGTGATAATTTGTTAGGACTTTGCAGATACGAGTTTTATTGAGGATATGAAAAAACTTTTTGGTACCTGATCTGACTCTATTTTATTTTATTGATGTTAAATTGCATTACACTTACCTCTTCAATCTTCTTGTTTTCTTTCAAATGATAACATGAGGGAGAGAGGTGAAGGTTCCCCGCTTCCGGTCAAACATACGCCAATGGAGATCCCCTAAGTTCCCGTAAAATAGGGTAAAGCTTCATTGGTTGACGCAAGAACCCTGGTGTCTTTATGAATGACTCAGTCGCCCTCTTAGCGGTGAAGTAAGAAGAATAATGATAGTCCCGCCGCTTTATTCAGGACTAAGAGAAATTGTGGCAAAGAGCTTATCCAGGGGAAAACCCACCAAAAAGATCGAAGCTTTCTGAGTGAACCTTTGTGATTCAACTATCTGTTACTAACATGACCTTTCCTCTTCAGCTACCTCGTGTCTTCTACCATCAGATGCCATGCCCCCATCTCATAGATAAAGGTGTGGGTAATTTGTCGACGATTATGCTTACATACACAAGCTTTTTGAGATGGGCAAATCGAGCTTATCGATAAAGTTCTCCTTCCACATGTTATGGGTAGCCTCCATCACGACTATAGCCACGTTTGACCGTGGAGAGCTCTTAGCTCTGGATACTCTTCCTCGTGAGATTAAATCTATGCTTACATGACACAACCATGTCAAGTCGGAAGTTCTTCACCTCCAAGGAGAATCGTCTCATCTTCTTCGGGGGCTAGATCAAATATATCCCTTCTTGGATGAGGTAAGCTTTATAACTCATGTGAAATTGGTTGGTTGGGTGGATAATCTTAAGGTTGCGCTTGAAGAGGAAAAAAAGTTTCCTAGGATATAGAGTTTTCTTTGGAAACTTCGTCTTTTTGTATCTTGGTCGCCAAACAGAGTTTGAGGAGGAAAAAGATACCCATTTGGGTGAAGTGAAGATTTTCTAGGATAAGTTGGTCGTCCTGGATAAACAACTTTTACATCTTTTCGCTGAAGGTCTCGAAGTTATTCCAAGTCCTTGGTATTCGCTCCTCAGCTAAGGTTTTTAAGAAGTAAGCTTTTTTCCTAGTGACAACTTGTACCTTGTATGACTCTTCCCATTTTGTTGCTAACTTGTCGTCTCATACATTTTTCCATCCTATATCAACCTTTCACAACAACAAGTTTAATGTTTGATATTCTTTGGGTCAGACATGTCGGTTGTATCTGGAGGTCGTGGTCTGCTTGAAGACAACACTAGTGAAGGCAGTTGTTGTACCCCAAAATTTGCCCTCTCATTTCTCAAAGGATCACCCTGGACCCTCAGGTTTGCTTCCATCCAATTTCAAGCCTTGAATTACAAAGTTTCCAAGAAAGTCATTCACAAGGGCAAAATGGTCATTTGCATACTGAAAAGTCAAACTTTGACTTTTGGATCAAAATCAAGTTTCCAGAATCATATTTCATCAAGAGATGTTGGAATATGAGATTAGTTTCATCAAGATATTCAAAAGTCAAAATTACTTTGGAAAAGTCAAAATTCTAAATACTTAGAATTTTTCTAAGTGTTTAAGAAATATGACAAGCTTAGAGCTTCTGATCAGATTATCACCATGATGCAAGCTGATTCTGGAAGAACTTCTGACACAAAAGTAATAGATTTTAATAAGATCTAAAACATTGCAGAACATAACTTCTCCTAGAAATGCTAGGATTTCAAGTTAAATCCTCAAAGACACGTCCCTGAAACTGAAGCATTTAGCAAATTCTGGACACTTTCAAAAACAGATTTTGGTCAGAATTTTTGTGCCAGTTTTCACAAAGGTTCAGTCAGAGTTTGCAAGAGTAATTCAAATAAGGTTATAAAGCATGATGCAAGCTTCCTGGAAAGTCTGAGAACTCCTTTAGAACATGCTGGAGCAAGGAGATACAAAGATCAAAAGTTGGATGTTTATTCTAAGTTATGCTGCAGCTGAAACTTCTGATCCAGAATTAAGCAATGATGCAGAATCTCACATTGCAGGATTTCTGGTTTGATAAATCTCATCATCATTTAATTCTCACAACCACTTTTGGGTCTTTATCCAAAAGATTTCCCCACGTGTGGCATAGAAGTACCATTAGTATCTTGGAAAAGCAAACTTTTGTACAAGAGTGTGCTGGGCCCATGCGTTGCTTTGCTTTTGAGGTTGCCTTTCCTTAATTCCTGCTTACAAATCCGGCTTAGGTACTTCTAACCACCATACCTATTTGAACCTACTTCAAGAACAAGTCAGCGCCTAGCATATGAGGGTGGTACCCCTTAACCTCTCCAAGCGACTAAACCTTTGCCTATAAATTGGACTTCATTGGCAACTGTAAAATGGTCGAAAATTTGAGAAAGAAAAAGCCTTGAACCCCTGCTAAAATTCCAAGAGTCCAAAATTGCAAACACAAAATACAAAACCTGTTAGCTTTTAATTATTGCATTCAAACTCCATTTTTTCCTCAAGTGTTTCTTGACCAAAACCATCCATACCGTTTTTGATATATATTTAGAAACCATCCTAATTTTCGTGTTCAGACTGTGACATACCCTCCATCAATATCCACTTCAAAGAGGTCAGAACTTGGCTCGTCGGCTGTTCCAGAATTTTCCAGTCATTCATAGTTCAAGTCAAAGGTTTCTAGCTTGCTGGGCACGTGAGGAAGCTGGTCAGAACATCACAAGCGGCCAGAGCCAGACTCCAGCTCACAGAACAGTTTCCAACTGCAAGGTAAGCTTCTGCTGACTCTCGTTATATTACTTAGGCATTGTTAGATTTGCATGTTCAAAATACAATGTAGACATCCTGATTCTAATGTCGTACATATTCTGAGGTTTCATGTATTTGCCTACCTAAGTAGAGAAAATTTCAGTT